AAATAGATAGAGACTTTATTTAAAGAGGGTGACACTTAACAGTACGAAGTACTAATGAACTTGTGGCCCTCGTAAAATTTACAAAAATTAGAGAGTATATCTATTGTCTATTTACAACATTTATTGAAATCAGGAAAAGATATAAATTATGTAATAGTTTTGTTTGTGGAAACACCACGTAAATTTATTACTGCAAAGCTTTCGATTCGTAAGCCTGGATCTTCATCAGAGCTAATAAGAATAATATTTGCTTATTAGCACTGATGAAGATCCGGGCTTACGGATCGAAAGCTTTGCAGTAATAAATTTACGTGGTGTTTCTACAAACAAAACTATTATACGTTTTATCGCCATGCAAACGTACAAAGAACTTAAGATGTAAATTGTTTAAATTCACTCTGGTGCGTACGGAAGCAATTATGTAATAACAATTATATAATAAGTATTTATGGAGCTAGCAGAACGGAAACTTAACGGCAATTTGTTCCAGAGACCTATAACGGTTATAAAGGTTGTTCCAGCTTCTGTAGCTCTATTGTATTTCGGAGTTACTAAACTTAAATCAGCACTACAAGTGTTCCTCGAATGTTGTTGGCTATTTAAATCTAATAGTCTGTTTAAGTACTCCGGAGTACCATTAATATAGTACGCTTGTAGATCATAATACATTTAGGCCCCCCCCCCCCCTTGTATAAGCCCATCAAAAATCGCTTACAAAAGAATATAAGCCCAGGGCTTATAGATAGATAGATAGATAGATAGATAGATAGATAGATAGATAGATAGATAGATAGATAGATAGATAGATAGATAGATAGATAGATAGATAGATAGATAGATAGATAGATAGATAGATTATTTAATAAAAATTTACATCGCAGCCCAAAATAGCTGAATTGCGTAAAATTTACAAAACATATAAATTAACTGTAGGTTATAAAAGTATAAAGTCTATGAACACATGCATAAACATATATATACAAATACTAACAGTACACATATTTTCATACATATACATTACGATCTTTAAGGTTCAAATTAGACTTATGTTATGAAAACAATTCATAGCAAACCTATTTCTTTAAATTATTTGACATTGCGGAAATATAAGAGTTTCTAAAACGATTGGTTCGTATAGTAGGACAATGAAACGCGCGTTCTCTCCTCAGGTTGTAAGTGGGATTGTGTTTGGGTGGCAGTAGTTGATAAAGCTTGTGGTCTGAGTTGGATATATAGTCGGAGGTTTACGGTATTTGTCCTTCCCAATAGTGACTAGAAACGTAAAGGAAGAGTTAAACATGTCCACAACACCAGATTAGATTAATGGTGGGGCCATCCAATATGGCCGCCATTGGCTTCACTTATGCACAGCAGATGTCATCAGTCTTATCAGTCTTATTTCAGATCAGTGGTTGTAACTAAAGGTTTTTGCGGCATGTAAAATTCATGCATTATTAAAGGGAAGACCGAATGGTTTTCCGTGCAGGATTGCGTGATCCATGCACGAGAGATGTCGCGAGACTTTCGGAAAGCGTATAGGCGAGTGTATTTTTACGCTTTCCGAAAGTCGAGCAACATCGCAAGTGCATGGATCACGCTATCCTGCTTGGAAAGCCATTTGGTAATTGTTGAGACCTTTGTCTGTTTTTGTCTCTTATAGAGAGCCCAGAATCGTGGAAATGGAACGAGAGTTCGAAAGTTCATCGAGAGAAGTTCATTAAGCTGCTCCAATATGGAAAAGACTATCCGGAAGAGATCAGGGATGTTAATGGAGTACGTGTTTGTTGCTCGAAGGAATTCCTCATTGGGAAGGGAAGTGATGGCACTCGAGTCTATGTAGGATTAGGGAAAGATGGATACGAAAAGGCTGTAAAACGTTTGCCTCGAGATGCTTGCACTGGCGTAGCTGAACACGAAAAGAGGGTTTTGAACGAACTCAATGCAACTAAGTCAAACTATGTTGTAAATTATTGGTTTTTAGACGAACAAAGCGATAAGGACTACTTATTTTTAATCTTGGATTTATGTGAGGAAACGTTAGCAAATGTTGTTGCTGGTAACAGGTTGGAACGTCTAGTAACAATTGCGCCAGATATCCTTCGGCAAGTTTTGAAAGGATTAGCTGATCTCCATTGCCTTCCAAAGCCCGTTTTGCATCGTGATTTGAAACCATCCAATATCTTGCGAAACGTCAACGGTAATTGGTTGCTGGTCGACTTTGGAATCAGTCGAATCTTAACGGCAGGTGCCACTACACATCCAAGTGAGCAGAGGGGAACGAATGATTGGAGAGCCGTTGAATCTTCACATCATTCGAATTGCATGACTGACGATAGCAAAGTACGTTATAAGAAAGAATCCGATATTCAGGTACGGTTTTGCTTGTGCTAAACAGAAGTTAGAGGCCAATTACATGGAGAATTTTCAACCCCGCGGTTGAACTCAGCCCTGTTGAACGGGTTGAAATACAAAACTCTATCAATAATACAAAACTCTATCAAAATCAAACGCGCGACTATACATGACAAAATTTTCAACCCAGGGACGAGTTCATCCCCGGGGTTGAAATTTCAACCCTGCTTCAGCAAGCATGCAGGCTTGAAATTTCAACCCGGGTTGAACTCAGCCCCGGGTTGAAAGTTCCGTCATGTAATCATTTTAACCCAGGGCTGAAATTATTCATGAGTCATTCAAGCAAAGAAAACAAAATGGAGGCTATATTGAAATCAATGCCGGGAACGTATAGCATTCCAACCCCGAGACTGAAATCGTCCATGTAATCGCAAAAAAAATTCAACCAGCTTAACAGGGCTGAGTTCAACCACGGGCTCAGTTCAACCAAATAAACGAATTCCGTAGTAAAGCTGGTGTTTACCCAAAATGAATATATTCTTTTCTAAAGTTGAAATAGACAACACGTTTTCATCAACGAAATATTTTTAAACCTGGTTGTATAATATAACATACTTTTGACAGCCTTTGAAATAATATTGACATCAGTAATGCGTTTAAAAACTCCGTCATTAAATTAAAGGTGTCGAATCAACTTTTCGGCAACATACTATGCTATGTCACAATTTTCATGAAAATATTTTTTCGTAGCTGTAAGAATAATTAGCACAGTTTGCTTTTGTCACATTTAGGTAGTCGGAATTGTGGCATTCTACATTGTGACAAAAGGTCAACATCCCTTTGGAGAAGAACGAGTCCGACTTGGCAACTTACTTGATGGCAAACCAGTAGGCTTGGATACGCTGAAAGATCCTGTCTTAAAGGATTTATTATACTGGATGCTGAGCCACGACCCCAAAGATAGACCGTCTGCTGAAGAAGCACTGAAACACCCTTATCTTGTGCCCGCGGAACAGCAGTTTAAAATGTTGTGCAAAATGGGAAACCAGCCTGAGATCAAGACACGGGATGTCAAATCAGATGTCGTGCGAATGTTGAATAGCGATCCCAAAGATTGGAGATTTCTGATGAATGCCGATGTTCTGAAGTATTTAAGCACCGATCCTTTGAAGGGGAAAACATTTCATTATAAGCCGTCGTGGACGGACTGCTTGCGACTTATCCGAAATGTCAAGGAACACTGGCAGGACCGTCCAATGCCGCAACCAGAACTATTCTATTTAGTGGGCGATCCACAAGAGTACTTCCTTCACCTTTTTCCCAATCTTCCTGTCGAGGTTCACAGAATTGTGAGGTCATGTGATTGGAAAGAACGACCTGACCTTAGGGAATACTTCATGTAAGATAAGAGAAGTTGTTTCGGACGAGATAAACACTGATCTGAAAACTAGCACTGGATCGATAGTGCATCTGCTATTTACAAATGAAGCTAATGGCGGCCATATTGATGTGACCATCACAAACCTACAGTGTTGCTGTTGACATGTTAGAAGAGATTCCAACATTTTCTAGCTATTGTTATTTCTTTTTTAAATTTAAATGAATAACTAGTAATCACACCAATAAATAGCTGTCACGAGTCTCACTAACTCAGTTTAGTATATTTTCAGAATTGAAAAATGGCCTTCATGCAGATTGGCTATCTCAGCAGTGAATCTGAGGCAATATAGTTACTGCTCGTGAAGACTGCTCTGAGCAGTAACTATTGCTTTTCACAAAAAAAATGATTGAATGTCAGACGAAAGTATATTATTTATGCAAATTATATTCACAAAATACAGTAAACACGTGTATTAATTGTATTTATAAATACAAGTTTTTCAGTGCTGAAATTATGCTAAAACAACTAATAGTTGCCTCAAGCTCGGTGATTACAAGCCTATATTTACTTCGTCTTTTGTTCAGTGTACATACGCCAAAATAGTGTTTAAAACTTTCGAAAATTCTGTATAACTATAACTATAAATTAATTATATAGCTTAGTGTCATTATATAAATGATGTTTGCCTTAATTTATTTGTTATAACTGACATTTAATATTTCACTAACTTCAGTCAGGGTAATGTTTATATTGTTAATTAATGTAATCTACAACAATTATGAACTTCATTAGCCATTATAATTACTCAGATATGCAATTTAGCACGCAATAATAACATTTTACTGAAATCACATTAAAACTGGTATTGATTTTATAAATTAGTCGACTGTTTCTACTTTCTGAAGAGACAAAATTTGTCTCTGCTTCATTGTTGAGAATATACATCACATATAATTGCATAAAGCTTTGTGAAAAAACGTTTAGAACTCTTATGGATTACTGATTTAAATTTGATGACTTACAACATATATGTGGTTTGTTGACATATACAGGGCCTTAGCAGGAGTGCAGGAAACGGAATTGCCCAGGGGTCCCACCTTAATCCCCAACTTGAGAGCAAGAGCCTAAAATTCAGCAGGTTCTTTAAATTGGCCGGAGCATTTTTGAAATTGAGGGCCCTTTAAGTAGCTCCACATGCATTCTAGCTAAGCTGTAGTTGGGTGACTGACTTGGGTCTAGCCTGAATAATAATGATGTCATGGGGTCCCAGAGAAGATTTGCCCCGGGCCCCGCAAATTCTCTCGGCGGCCCTGGACATATATAACCTGTGCACACGGTTTTATTTCGATTCACGACATCCCAAGATCTTTCATGAAGTTTTTTTCAGAAAGTCATGATCATACGCGTACGAGGCGGGACGGGCAGCTGCCTTCCTTCCCATACGTCCACGTGAAGTCATAGTGAGTATAATTTGAATATCAAAAATTGTTAAATATCTCAAGGACGAAGCAAGCTATAAGAGAGTTTGGCAAAGTATCAGTTCGGTTTTTCGTTACGTTGCAATCATAACAAATGCATGGTGTGAAATTCCATTGCGTCACTTTAAACTACAACAAGACGCCCGCTTGGCGTTAACCTCGGGTCGGTGGATAGGGCATCTGGTAAATATGCAAATGTAATCACGATAGTTTAATAGTTCACTAGTATAAATGGTGAATCAGTCAATCAAAGCTCCGTTTTAACATTTTATTTGATAATAGTTAAATACAGGAACAATTTAGAGAATTTACTGACGCAATTATTTAACTGTATTTATTCATTACTTGGGATATTTTGTGGACGAGTGAATGATATACATAGCTATACTTCACTACTTCACCTTGTATTTAGTAACACTAAAAGACAATATTATCAGTCTACTTGTTGATTGCACATAGCAAAATGACAGTCACTTCAGATATTTTTAAAATATATCGAAGTACCGAAAATATAATTAGGTGCATAAATCTGATCCATCATTAGTAATAGTTGTACCACAGTCGAAGAATGTAATGAGTGGACAGTTGGCAAAATTGTTGTCTACCAACAGTGGCGTAACGGAGAAAGAGGGGGCCCTTAGGCGAGTTTGGGTAATGGTCGAGTGTCGAAGGTCGAGGGTCATAGGTCGAGGGTCGAGGGTTATAGGTCGAGGGTCGAGGGTCATAGGTCGAGGTTCGAAAGTCGAGGTCGAGGGTCAAAAGTCGAGGTCGAGAGTCAGAAGTCGAGGGTCGAAAATGGAAAATATTAGTTTTTTATTAAACATTTCTAGAATACTACATTTTTGGCATTTGTTGTCAAAATTTTAAAGGTTCTCCTGATAACGAACTTTACTACTGTTAGTACAGAACATGCCTTAGGGCTTTTTGTTTTTCGAGAAAGTGTAAAATTACTAAAAATATTCGAGAGCGTACGGTGCCGGTGGGGTGATTCGAAAATATATTGTATTTATAATTTATTGAATATTGTACTATCAGAACGAATCGGGTCCCAGCGCAGCAAAAATCTCTCACAATGGTCGTGAGATAATTCTGAACCGAACTAAAATCGCCCTGTTATAAAGATTCGTGCTTCGTGCATGTTATTTTTGACAGAATAACTAAAGAACGTTTCCATTTTATTACATTACAACGTTCTCGCAACTATATTATGAATATGAAACTGTCAATCGAACATGTGCACTTCCGGTGCAGACATGTAAACACGATGTTATAAAATATACTAAATATCAACTGTTCTCGCACACCCTAACGCTTTAAACCTCCAAAACCATACGCGGTTTTTGAATTACGCGGTCTGAGAAATTCAGAACTCTTACTCTTTCGCCTCCAAGTCCAAGAGATAACATATTACCTATAGGCTATAATCAGTTTCTCATGAGAGTGAAACGCCATATTTTTGTATAAATCGTCCGTGTTTGTATGTCTTGTATATTTTAAACTCCAATGTAAAATAAAAGATGTATGCTTTCAAACATCACCTCGCATCAGTTCACAAACGAAACTTTCAGTTATACAGTACATAGCCATACGGCATAGCCATAGGCGAAATTTTTCAGTTTTGACAGCAAAACTAATTGTTTTGCCGCGTTTAATGGTTGTAAAACGTTTAAAATGGATAAAAATTTAGTATTTTCGACTTTCGACCCTCGACTTTTGACCCTCGACCTCGACTTTTGACCCTCGACCTCGACTTCCGAACCTCGACCCTCGACCTATGACCCTCGACCCTCGACCATTACCCAAACTCCCCTTAGGCATATTCGGTGTGGGGGCCCCTGTTGTCATTGTTTGACTGAGATATTGTATTTATATTGAACATTTATAGAATGTTCTGGAAAATTGATAATAATATTTAATATTTATATTGCGCAAATTAACATGTTATAACAATGACAATAACAATGACAATAACAGTCTCCAACATATGTAACAACTTTTAAGAATAACTTTTGTTTAATTTGAGTTGGAATAAAAAAATCAGCTACCGTCGTCGATGGAGGCTTGATTATTTAGCATTATTAATCTTGCATTTTCCCATTGATTCTTCACCTGCATCTTTTACGTTTTCTAATTTTCTGGGCGATAGACCGTGGCTGATGGGGCCCCTAACTGTCGGGGGCCCTTAGTTTTTTGAACTAACCCTAACCAATGAGCGCTACGCCACTGTCCACCAATTACAGTAAGAACCATCCATAAAATGCTTAGCAGTATCAAACAAGTGAAAGTTGGCCGCGGTATTCCCATGCTATGCATACGAAGTATTGTACATTAGATCAACATATACTGGAGAATGGTTATCCAGCTAAACATGTATGTCAAAATTATCACATCTTCTGGTTTTAAATCAACAATTTTAACGGATTTTGTGCAAGGACAGCTTCGGGTTCCGTTTCGCTTTGGCCGATGCTTGAAATTTCCCGAAAGTACACTTATTTACCGGAAGTTGTCGTCTCCTCCGCAGGCTCTTCGACTACGCGCGCGGCTCGACACAAAATGGAAAAAATAGGAGCCGAATTTATGACCTCGATGTCGTACCGACCCGAGGTAATTATTTTTGACAGTTTCTTGAATACGGTAGTAGACTTTTATTTATTCATTGTTTAATCCGCTGCATTATAAGTAGCCATATAAACAATTATAGAATCCTGGCAAAATTTATTGTGGACAACATGTGTGCGTAAACAGAAATACCTGTCTTGGCAGTCTTGTCCAATCATATCCTTCCATTGGTCTAGAGCCATGATCTATTGGAGGAAAGAAGCACGGGAAAAAACGTTAAAACATACTTGCCAATCACAATTCAGGAGCGACTTAAATCAAGCTAACCAATAGCATTTCCTTATTTGTATAAATCACGTATACGCGCGATATTTGTTAAATTTCGACTTTTTCAGTTTTCCAAATGTTTGGGGAAATAAAAAACAAACTATTTATATACCTGTTTAATTCGTTTTCTTCCTTTTACTATATAAAAGTAACAACTAAATTTTGACGTCATACCGTGTAACTGAAGAGAGAACGGCAAAATGTTACTTATGTATTTGTTAGATAAATTGTTTATGTTTTTGTTAAGTTTTTGTCTAAACTGTTCTCGCTAAATGTGCGGTTATAGGACTTATACACTATACTAACCTCCCTGATACTAGATTATTCAATAAATTTTCAACTGTTTTCGCAAGAAGTTATATATATCGATCCATGCAGTTTTACTACAGCTGAAAGCATTGTTTTCCATGCAAAGCAGCTAAGGCCATGGCTGTTTTAGACTTTGAATTTCCGTTGAATATAATTCATTGGAGTTAACTTTAATGCTTCTGAATTTTACTCGACGGAATTTCGAAGTTAATTTTTGTCATATGCATGCATGCGATGAAGTGACACATTGAACACTTCGACACTACCGCACATAAAGCGCTTAAAATGGCATTTATAACTTAAAGGGAAATGGCAATATATTTTTTTATTTTCTCGTTTGAAAAAACATTTAAAACCATATATAAAACTCTTTCACCATATTTCCATATCTTGCTTACTTCTACAAATATTTTGATCGAAAGAAATGAAATGTCCGCCATCTTGGATTTTTGTAGATATGCATGTTACGACACAACAGGGGTCACGCAATATTTTTATTTAGACAACCACTAATCATTTTGTACTCAAAATTATACTCCGTATGCCCTTGGATGATATCAAGATCACTTGAAACCTTTAAAACATCTACCAATCAATATTTGGTCAGAAATGAATACTTTTATATTGTTAATCCCTGTTGTGACGTCACCAAAACTACCGTTAATGAGATCAAAAATTAATCCAAGATGGCTGACATCTCATTACTTCAAGTGAAAATATTTCAAGAACTAAGCAAGATATAAAAAATCGGTAAAAGAAGTTATTAAATAGTTTCAAAAGTTCTTTCGAATGAGAAAATAAAAAATATATTGCCATTTCCCTTTAAATTTGGGTTAGTAACATGTATTCTGCCGACCCCAGCTAATAATCCTCATACTGAGGGGTGTGCTGTACTGGAAGATAGATAGATAACGAATGATTTAAACGATTTAGCAGCAAATAGCGATTATAAAATTTCAGCAGTTTCGACGGCTAAACTGCCAGGCCTGCATGAGACGAAATTATAATCAGAAAACCACATGCGTGCAAAATGCGTGCATAAAGCCTAGCTGGTTTCCACATGGTCGTAAAAATAGAGTCACGATCTTTCTCAACAGCCAGTATATATAGTACTTTATACCGTCCTGTAAACCACATAAAATCATGAGTATTCTCTGACACTGTAGTTGTAATCACTCCGCGTATTTTCAGTTCTAAAATGTTGTATTTCGGCTGATGAGAAAGATCGTGACTCAATTCTTTACGACGGCATCTGGAAACCAAATCTTTGTGACAGCACCAACATGTAAACCAGAATTTATTTTACAACAATGCATATCAAATTAATGCAGAGGATTAGGATCATCCAAAGGACGCGTTTTTCTGAGACACTGTCCGATCACATTTAGGGTCCGATTACATGGAGAACTTTCAACCCCGGGGTTGAACTCAGCCATGTTAACCGGGTTGAAATTTTTTGCGATTACATGGACGATTTCAACCCCGGAGTTGAAACGCTATACTATACGTTCTCGGCATCGATTCCCGGAAGTAAAAAGTCTTTATTTTGTTTTATTGTAATAAATAAATAATCACTACCACGTATGCTCGAATAACTCATGATAATTTCAACCCTGGGTTGAAACGATTACATGTCAAAATTTTCAACCCAGGGCTGAGTTCAACCCCGCGGGGCTGAGTTCAACCCCGCGGGGTTGAAATTTCAACCCTGCTAGCTGAAGCACGAGGGTTGAAATTTCAACCCCGGGGTTGAACTTAGCCCTGGGTTGAAAATTTTGTCATGTAATCTCGCGTTTGATTTTGATAGAGTTTTGTATTACAGACAGGGCTGAAATTTCAACCCGGTAAACAGGGCTGAGTTCAAC